CACAAATCAGTTAAATGACGAAAAATTAGGTGTCTATTTACTTGTGACCACTCAGTGTACGTACAGTGCATGCAATCGACCTTTCTATTAATTTTATTTATATATGTACATTGCATGGAATCGAACCTTCTATTAATTTTGTTTATATATGTAGAGTGCATGGGATCAAACCTATTAATTTGGGTTATATACGTACAGTGCATGGAATCGAACCTTCTATCAATTTGGGTTATATATGTACAGTGCATGGAATCGAACCTTCTATTAATTTTGTTTATATATGTAGAGTGCATGGGATCAAACCTATTAATTTGGGTTATATACGTACAGTGCATGGAATCGAACCTTCTATTAATTTTATTTATATACTTACAGTGCATGGATTCGAACCTTCTATTAATTTGGGTTATATATGTACAGTGCATGGAATCGAACCTTCTATTAATTTTGTTTATATATGTAGAGTGCATGGGATCAAACCTTCTATTAATTTGGGTTATATACCTACAGCACATGGAATCGAACCTTGTATAAGTTTTATTTATATACATACAGTGCATGGAATCGAACCTTCTATTAATTTGATTATATACGTACAGTGCATGGAATCGAACCTTCTACTAATTTGAGTATATATGTACAGTGTATGGGATCGACCCTTCTATTAATTTGAGTTATATACGTACAATGCATGGAGTCTAACCTTCTATTAATTTGGGTTATATACATACAATGCATGGAGTCTAACTTCTATTAATTTGGGTTATATACATACAATGCATGGAGTCTAACCTTCTATTAATTTTATACAAAAACTGCACCAGTAATAGTTACTTATCAATACTAATTCACTTATTCAAACTTCAGACTTGGTAGAGTACAGTAGCTAACCGTGATGGAGAACTTGGAAGAAGTGTTGAAACCAACAATGTATGCTAAAAGCTGGTAGTATTTTGTAAGCTCCATAGTCTTGGGGTTTCGCTTTCATTCGTGAAATGAACAGTTATATAAGCTAATAAGTTTTTAAACTCAAAGTTAAAACATAAAACAAACATTTTGATACATTCCAAAAATTGTTTAAAGGAAAACATAACTAAGCATAAAATAATTACTTTTTCATTTTTATAAACCAACACCAGTAACTTTCAGAAACCATCACTATACAGAAAACTGTAGCTTGTTTTTTTACAAGTATGCTAAAATTATTTGAACAAGTTTTGTCTATATATATATGAAGATAAAATGTGTGTTTGTTTGCATCCTAACTCCTCTGAGTCTATTGGACCAATCTCAACCAAAATTTATATGTAAACATTATGAACCTCCAAAATCTTTATTTGTTGGTAGATGGAAAGCAAACTGCAAATGTTGTTTATGAAGAAGATTTGTTATAATTTTAAAATTTTGAGATAAAGTTTATGTTCAAGTTATTACTTTGAAACATATTATTCCTGTTAAACTTACATTGTTTTAATTAAGTTTAAACATTCCCTGTCAGCTGACGGGTATTTCAACTTGTAGAAAATAAATTCATTTTATACTTACAACACTTGGCTTTTTCAAATCCACAAAATCTCACAGCTTTAACATAAGTAACTAGGTCAGAAAAGTCCTTGTCTAGTTTGAATGAATTGCTCTGTAAAATTAAATCATTTATCCTGTTAATACAGTGGTAACAATGTCAAAACAAAACAGAGAGTTGAAGCAAGCCTGTTAACACAGTGGTGACAATGTCAAAAAAAAACAGAGTTGAAGCAAGCCTGTTAACACAGTGGTGAAAATGTTGAAACAAAACAGGGAGTTGAAGCTAGCCTGTTAACACAGCAGTGAAAATGTTGAAACAAAACAGGGAGTTGAAGCTAGCCTGTTAACACAGCAGTGAAAATGTTGAAACAAAACAAGGAGTTGAAGCAAGTCTGTTAACACAGTAGTGACAATGTTGAAACAAAACACAGGGTTGAAGCAAGCCTGTTAACATAGAAGTAATTAAAATGAAATACAAAAACCATTGAACTGAAGAATGTCCGTTAACACAGTAGTAACAATATTGAAATAACACACAAAACTAGGACTGAAGTCGGTCTGTTAATACAATATTAACTATAATTAAATACACAAAGGTTGGACTGAAGTGAGATTGTTATTATAGTAGTAACAATGTTACTGCACTTCAAATAAGACCAGAGTTTGAAGAAGTAGTAAGAAAAATGTTCAAATTACAATTTTTGTAAAAATAAACAATCTGTACAATTGTTACAAAATGAAATATGTAAAAAGTTATAACCTTTTGAACTAAACTGAGCCGATTAGTACTTTCACTAGCATACACACATAATGTTTTGTTTTCCATTAACTCTTCTTCTCTCTTCTCCTCTTCTTCTAACTGCTCTTCTGAAGCTTCAGGATTTTCCTTTGTAAATTTCCTTCCCTAAAAATAAGACATTTACATTTGTAAGTTGTATACTTTGTCTAATATTGCTTTTTAAAAATGTGCTACATATTTCAGCAATTCACATAATATAAATATGTTAGTGCCTCTAGTGAGACTACTAAGTAAGATAAAACTAATTAAAACGTAATCAATGTATATTAGAAGTAAGAAAATCATGAACTTCTTTAAGTTTAACAGTTTTTAACAAGCATTTTTGTACTGGTGTATATATAAAAAACTGACTGTAGTGACAGATGATATTGATATTATTTTCTTGGCACTTGTGTATAACGTTAAAATAATAAACACAAAATGTTAAAACATTTTTTAAATTTAGGTCAATCTATGACCTCTGAAATATGGAGTCTACAAAATTTATCTGACTCCTGATGATGACGTGGTACACACTGAAACATCTGGAGTCCACATTTTAGAGGCTGTAGATCGGTCTGAATTAAAAAATGTTTTTAATTGTGTGTCAATTTTAACATTCTGTGTTTATTATTTATTATCTTAACAAATGATATACACAACAAGAGGAGTATTATTTCACAAAAGACTGCCATTTCTCCCTCCCCTAATTTGGGGGTGGTGTCGTGGTTGCCTCCCCTCCCTTCAAATGACATCGCTGCAAGTACCCAAGGGTATTAAATGACCATCTTTAATGAAAAATATGATTGCTACATTACTGAGAGATTAACTGAATCCTGTCGGGTAAAAAATTGATGTGGAGATAAAATACAAAAAAAAAAAAAAAACAGCAAAAAATCTAGATTTAGAATCCTGTAAAATAAAACAAAATGTCAAAGTTTCTAGTTATCAAATTTAATTAATATATTTTTATTCTCCTAAGTTTTCAGGTTCTGGTTATTTTTCCTGTTGTGGGAATGTTGTCACAGCTTCATTTCTGAAATACAAAAATGTAATTACAATACAAAGAAAAACAAACACACAGATAGTTTGTGTAGTAGCTTTAAAACAGATTAAGTGTGTGAATGTAACTAACTTTGTCCAAAACACACACTTCCTTTTGAAGTTTCAACATGCAGTAATGTTATATACTTCACGCATGTCTCTTTATCAAACAGTATTTATAAAATTGTCAGATTTTGTATAGGGACCAGGATTCTTTACAGTAGGTGTCCGTGACTTGTTGGAGATAAATGTCAACAATAAATGGACAGCACACAATCCACTTGTTTTAAAATAATATATTCAAAACAAGTCAAATGCGTGTACAAAAATTTGCTACACTATTGGTTATCACAGTTGTATCCAGAGCTTAAAATTATTGTCTCTTTTTTATCAAGTCCACACAGGTTGGATCAATTACTTTAGAACACCCTTTGACAAGACAAATTATTATTCTTAATCTCTGTTGTTACAATTCCACTATGAAACTCAATTTAGATATTGCCCGTTACGGCTAAACTAACAATCACGCAGTCTAACTTCACTTTCACTGACTTACTTTAACTTCTTTTTTTGCATTCTGTATCTGCACATATTTATACCACACAACAGAAAAATCTAGAAATATCTAGCTCTCTAGTGACTACAATATTCACATAACGAGAAAACTTAGAAGCTTGGAGTAAGATGACTTCAGCAGTATTACAAAAGCCTAGTACAATAATTAAGCTGCATACACAACTCGTACAGAGTTACATAATGAAACTTGTCATAACTATCACTTTCAAAATAATTAACTATTAAATCACTAAAAATAACTGTTAAACAAAGCAGTCTTGTATATCCAACAAAAACACTGATCAACAAAATAACGTATTACATGTATCATGAGTGGTTATTTTTTATACAAAATTATAAGGAACATAAAAAAAAACTATTGTAATTATATCCTTACTTATTTATTTATCCATGTTACTCAGTCAATTATAATTGTCTCAAAATGCATTCAACAGTATACTTTATCTTTGAACCTGTACCTACCTTTGACGGAGATTCCTCCTTGTTAACAGTTTAAAAAAAAAGAGAAATATTTTTAACTTTGAAACATTTTAAAACAAGACAAAAAATCAACTCTGGCAACTTTAATGAGCTGGAAGTTTCTTATTAGCTTCTCTCGAACTTTTTTCATTGAATACTCAAAACATTTGGACACACATAAAGCTGGGTTAAAAACATACAGGTGAAGAACCAGAAATTTGTTTGGTAATTCTTATTAACTTTTAATTACTTGGTTACACTTATGTCATGGGAAACAAAGAAGGTTTGACCTTTCTCGAAAACTCAAGACTTTGTGATGTATACAATACTTGAAAACCTGTCCAACTTCACATCAAAGTATATATAACATATCAGATAATTTTCTAAATGTTTAAACAAGAGATCAGCCTTTTTTGAGTAACTTCTGCTGTTTCAAAGTTTCTTTGTTTATTTCAGATATATGTATAAAGCTACAAGGGATATCTATACTAGTTTACCTTAATTTTCAACTGTTAGACAAGAGGGAAGAAGCTAATGAACAGCACCAGCAATTAACTCTTAAGCTACTGTGATCAAATAGCTGGATTCAACCTTTACTCTTACAAATCTCTCAAAGCAGCATTATTTGAAACAAAACTCTTTATTTTATACAAATATCAGTGATAGATAGACTAAAGTCCATTTGTTCCAGTAATAAAATTATGATTCAAACAGAAAACTACTGTCATTCTTTTCATTGGTATGGTAATATATATGATAATATTGTTTAAATCTATTGATTGATATGGTAATAGATATGATAATATTGTTTAAATATATTTACTGATATGGTAATATATATGATAATATTGTTTAAATATATTTACTGATATGGTAATAGATATGATAATATTGTTTAAATCTATTGATTGATATGGTAATATACAGGATAATATTGTTTAAATCTATTGATTGGTATGGTAACATACACGATAATATTGTTTAAATCTATTTATTGGTATGGTAACATACACGATAATATTGTTTAAATCTATTTATTGGTATGGTAACATACACGATAATATTGTTTAAATATATTTACTGATATGGTAATATACATGATAATATTGTTTAAATATATTTACTGATATGGTAATATATATGATAATATTGTTTAAATATATTTACTGATATGGTAATATACACAATATTATTGTTTAAATATATTTACTGATATGGTAATATACACAATATTATTGTTTAAATCTATTTACTGGTATGGTAATATACACGATATTATTTTTTAAATCTATTTATTGGTATGGTAACATACATGATAATATTGTTTAAATATATTTACTGGTGTGGTAATATACCCGATATTATTGTTTAAATCTATTTACTGGTGTGGTAATATACACGATAATATTGTTTACACCTATTTACTGGTATGGTAATATATATGATATTATTGTTTAAATCTATTTACTGGTGTGGTAATATATATGATATTATTGTTCAAATCTATTTACTGGTATGGTAATATACACGATATTATTGTTTAAATCTATTTACTGGTGTGGTAATATATATGATAATATTGTTTAAATCTACTTATTTAAGAACATTTAGACACAATAATGTTAAACAAAACTGTATTCTGAGTCACACATGACACTGTTGGTAATACAGCTTACTAATAAGAACATTTAGACAGCCAACAGTGTCATGTGTGACTCAGAATACAGTTTTGTTTAACAGTACTTAATACAGCTTACTAGTAAGAACATTTAGACACAGTACTGTTAAACAAAACTGTATTCTGAGTCACACATGACACTGTTGGTAATACAGCTTACTAATAAGAACATTTAGACAGAGTAATGTTAAACAAAACTGTATTCTGAGTCACACATGACACTGTTGGTAATACAGCTTACTAATAAGAACATTTAGACATGGGTATCAAACAACGGTAAAATTTCACCTTTATCAAGATTTTTCTGGCCAATGAATGTGGAGACGGAAGTACACTTTCATCCTCTCCCACTGGGGTACAGTACAGATAGTCTGAGAAAGAAGTCATCAAAAGATCATTGTCTAAAATTTTATATTAACACTTAATCAAATAAACTTACATACTAGTGTTGATATAAGCGTTCACATTAAACAAGACATGTTTTCAAAATACCGTGTTGTCCTTTATTATTTCTACTTTTGCATACAACATCGTGGATTTCCATTTAGCAATTTCTTCAAATAATAAAATTTGTATTCATTTCTAAAACAATTTATTTCGAGTACTCTACAGAAACTTCATGATTCAACCATGTTTTTTAGAAGCAAGACTGGAAGAACAATACATTACATAATTCAATTATTATTTTACGTTTTCCACCTTGTTTAACAATCACTATTCTCCTCTTTTCTAATAATGCTCCAGTAAAATTAACAATTATTTTTCCCATTTTCTGACACTGCTCTTGCAACGTTTACCACAGAATAGATTATATTTACCAGAATAAAACAATAACAGACAAAAACCTACTATGTAACTTGCAAGTGTTAGTAAAGCCACCTTACCTCCAAGAATGTTAACTAAGTGTTTAGCCATTTTATTCTGTTGTTCAACACTACAGTGATTTTCTATCGATAAAATAACTGGATACCTGTTTAAAACAGAAAATTTACTTAAGTTTTTATTTTCATTTTAAACTTTAATATTATTATTATTATTATTATAAGAAACATGATTCTTAACTTTATTTAATGGAAACTGGAGTTCATTAAAAGACATTTTAATAAATGTGAATAAAATAACCTATATCTCCCAGAATGTAACTTTAATAGCTCAATAGTTCGCTATTATAGCTTCATTAGGAGCTATTGATATCCTACCAATTCACTAATCCAGTTGAATCTAAATTGGAACACAGATAGGTCGTTATTTTATTTACATTTATAAGAAACATTATTATGGAGAGAACTAAAATATGCATGTATATTTCGCTGACGGGATACACGTGGACTTCTTAGTCTTAAGCACATTTTGCACCAAATTGCTTGTGGGTTCATAAATTTGTTGGTACAGAGCCATTAATAATACAAAAGTCTCTCTTGGATTTTTTGGCAAGCACAAAACTATAGAATGGGTTTTCTGAGCAAAATACAAGTCACACAAAAATACCATCACACTGCAATTAATCTCACTAATACTGGTCAGATGCCTATATAGATAATTAGTGATTTCATCTAAAATGTTTTAATCCAGTTTTTGGTATACTAAGTATTGTAACAAGCACAAATATAAAAGCACTCATTATGATGCAATATGTAGATCCCACTCTGGTACTGAATGGAAGGTAAGTCAGTAATTTGAGAGTTAATGGTTTTTTTGTAACACATTTAATTTTTATAAGAATGGGTTATTGTTTTTGTCAAACCTTTTCACACTAGTTTTTTTTGTTTATTGGTCATTATTTATAAACATACTTAGTTGTAAAGTGTAATTCAACAAGATACTCAAGTGATATACTTACTGGGATGATTTGAAGGCATTTGTCTTTATAGCCATTATCACATCCCTGAAGAGAATCTTGGTAGTAAATGTATAACCATGGTATATCACAGGTTCGTCATCAGGTCCATCCCATGCATCCACTGTCATAAAGATAGGTTTATAATTAGATTAATCTGCTTCATGATACCAGTTTATATATAAATTTGTGGTATATCACAGGATTATCATCAGGTCCATCCCATGCATCCACTGTCATAAAGATATGTTTATAATTAGATTAATCTGTTTTATGAGACCAGTTTATATATAAATTTGTGGTATATCACAGGTTCGTCATCAGGTCCATCCCATGCATCAACTCTGATAAAGATAGGTTTATAATTACATTAATCTGTTTTATGAGACCAGTTTATATATAAATTTGTGGTATATCACAGGATTATCATCAGGTCCATCCCATGCATCCACTGTCATAAAGATAGGTTTATAATTAGATTAATCTGTTTTATGAGACCAGTTTATATATAAATTTGTGGTATATCACAGGTTCGTCATCAGATCCATCCCATGCATCAACTCTGATAAAGATAGGTTTATAATTAGCTTAATCTGCTTTATGAGACCAGTTTATATATAAATTTATGGTATATCACAAGTTCGTCATCAGGTCCATCCCATGCATCCACTGTCATAAAGATAGGTTTATAATTAGATTAATCTGCTTTATGAGACCAGTTTATATATAAATTTGTGGTATATCACAGGATTATCATCAGGTCCATCCCATGCATCAACTCTGATAGCGATAGATTTATAATTCATTCATGATATCAATTCCTGAGTGATATTAAATCTATGGGAGTCTTATACAGACTGCCCCACCCGATCTCAGACTCACTAGACACCACGTCATCACAACAATCCTCAGACTAGTTTTAAGATCTTAGTAGTACTCAACAAGACTGAAGTCTTGGTGACAGTGTTTTCAAATACATATTTTGTGTGATTAAAATGCACTGGTTCATCAGTGAGTTTTAATATCACACAGATTATATTATTATTATTGGGGTTCAATGGGAATAAATGTTATTACAACCACCACTTGTATTTCTTACAGCTCTACACTGACAAGTACACTTAAACTTCAGTTTAATTACAAGTGAATTGATCGTATTGGCTGTTTCATAATATGTTGTAGAATGACTACAAATTGTAAGAGGAAACTACATTTCTTTATCCTAAATAGTTTAAGGCTTCTAACAATATACATCTGTTTATACTTAATTTCATTGCCCTATGAACTGTATCTAACTAATAATCCTGCCACACAAGTTGTAAATCACTCTATAAATATAAAGCTCATATTATAGTATTGAATTACGTAACACACAAGCTACAGTGAGTATACCTCATGAAGAAATTTCATTATCTTACCTAATAAGTTTGTAATTTTTACATTTTAGTTATACTTAGAGTAATAAATAAAGAGCAAACGTGAAATACAGAACTCTTGTTTTTTGCTGTCGGTTACTGATGAACTTCAAGCCTACTTTTTCTATACTGATGGTACTAGTCCACTAAATAACTTTTATTTACTCAAATAATGCACATACGAATAGAGAATAATAATAATACATACAATAAAAATAATTTCCTATAACTATTATAATTTAACTGGTTTCTAACTATCTTATAAGAACCTTAAATTAATTCCATAATTTTTTTTGATACGATTACCTTGAGAGAAGCTTTCAAAATAGACAATACACTGTATGGAAAACATTGTAATATAACACGTCATTTGATACATTAAAACGTTTTCTTTCTATTGGTTATAAATGATATAATATAAAGCATTAGAGCTAATTACTGGCAACTTGTGAAAGAGAGGATGCGACAGTTGCGCATGACAAGTGGGTTTGACTTTCAAGTTTGTTTCCATAAACAAAAACATTGAAGGCTATAAAAATTAAACTTTGCTTTAGTAACATCTATATTATACTAAATAATTTACATTAAACCCCATACTTCAGAGAGGGTAGTAAATAAATTAGTGAAGAGGGAAGACCTAGACAACAAATTTCACAATTCTCATACTAGGAGAGATTGAAGATTTTTAAATATTTCCTAACAAAATTAAGAAAAAAACTTATATAATATTAAGATTTGATTTGTTAACTACGTTCTGATGCCATATGTATTCAAAAAATGTTGAACATAACTCTGTAAAAAGGTTGTGACGTGCACTATAAACCTACCCGTAGTGAGAGGGTGAAAGTCCAAATTTATGCCAGAGAAAACCAGGCAAAAATGTGTTTAGTTGGTAATAAATAATATCTGGACATCAAAAAACTAAAGGAATTCTTAACCCCATTTACCTGTTTCTACTATACTCTATACTTCAAAATGTCTTTAGAGATTGTATTAAATATGAAATTATAACATGCTTTGTGGTTAAACCTTTGATCAATGTGATATATCAGAGTAGCTTTATAAGTACGAAAGAAGAACTTTTCTTTAAGAAAAATAATGTTAAATAACTAATAATTTTATTAACAAAATACTTACATTCAAGACAACGACACCCCCTAAGAAGAGCTCTGATGTATCCTTCAATACTACTTTCACCCATGAGCTGTCCCTGGGTTAAGTACCTGAGAAAATAGCAGTATTTACTGGAATAAAATGTACTTTAATACAATTTGTTCACAAAATACCAAATCAGAACATCTCAAAACGTGTTAAAGATTCATAAAAAAAAAAAAGGATCTGAATTACTTTGCATCATACAGAAACATATTTGTTACAAAAGTAAAATACATATGAATGAGACAGTGGCTGGGTTATCAATACAACACACAGAAACTTACATGTTATGAAAAGATATACAGTAACATGACAGTGGCTGGGTTATCAATACAACACACAGAAACTTACATGTTATGAAAAGATATACAGTAACATGACAGTGGCTGGGTTATCATCACAATACACACAGAAACTTATGTGTTATTAGAAGAAGATATATAGTTATGTGACAGTGGCTAGGTTATCATCATAACACATGCACAAACTTACGTGTTATGAAAAGATACATAGTAATGGGACAGTGACACGGTTATCATCACAACACACACAGAAATATTAAAATTTTCCTACTTCCTATGCAGTAATCTCCTTGGCATAAAAATATCGAGGGGTAATGCAAGAGGAAGTGGAGCAACAAACAAGTGCACCCATTGTGACCCACAACACTCAAGGTGAATTGAGTGAGGGACCAGGGTAACCCTGAACACATGTGTGAGGACTTATATTGATTGGTTCAACTCTGAATTCAAACTCAACCACCAGGAACTGACATCCATGTGGGGGTAGGATGAGGGATCCCAATCATTATGACAGTGCTCTCCAAAGCTACAACATCCCCTTAGACAAACTCGTGCAGAGATGGAGCATCCATTTGGATGACATCTTGTAACCTACACCAGCAGAACACCACTGCCCTACTCTCAACTGAATGGAGTTTTTATTATTTATATTATATATCTCACATGGTTCACCACCCCAGTGGCTTGGAACTGGAAAGTGGTAAGGACTCTCTCACTCCACCAGAAGAAACGAGGGGAAAAATGTGGTGGAAAGTCTCGAGGAATGTTCACACTGGAGACAGTTCAATTGGTGACCATGAAATCCTATTTTGAAAAGCAGATCAGAACTGATATATTCAATCTAAGGAATGGTAGGGATGGGCAGCAATCCCCTTCTGCTTTACGTATGAAGTCCATGGGTTAGTACGGTCCAGAATGGGCATATTTATGAAGCAAAGATATCATGAAGAATAACCTATATGCAATCTTGTGGAACACCTCCTCTCTAGCTTATGTGATTGTAATGAACATTGTGGATTTTGTGGCCATTGAAATTATGAAAGTAAGTCAACATGGCCTTACAGTACGGGCTTTAGTACAATTTTAAGTGATTGAAGTATACCTTGACAGGCACCACTTGCCACAGAGCAGGATCCTGGTCAAAACATGGGAGAGGCCTCTGAAAAATAATATATATAACAAAAGAAAAAAAACTTACCCAGTTACAGTCTCACTGAAGAGGGAAGGAAGGAAAGAAGTGGAAATGTGAGAAATGGAGACAACAGAAAGAATCCTTGAAAGCAATGAAGCAACCCAGAGCATGTATGGGCCAGAGAAAGTCATCTGGATCCAACCGAGAATAAAGGTGGAAGACGGCAAGAAATGAAAATGACAAAAAGAATATTCCACATGAGCCCCCAAAGTTTTGATCCGAAACAGCCAAGAAAACCAGATCTGTGCTGGCCAGGAAGGATCAATTAGACCTGACCCAGAGTGACATGGATGATCAAAATCACCTTTGGAAGAAGACCAAAAGAATGTGAAAACCTAAAGGTATAAACTGATCTAATCATGTCTGAGCATATTGACAGCCATGGCAAGTGGATAATGAAAAAGAGACAAAAAACAAAAGAGGTAACCTGGATTGAGAAAGGAGTCAAACACCTCCCGTGGAGGAGTACCCCACAGGAGGCAGATCTAATGAAAATTTGAGGATCAAGAGGCCACTCCTTGGGAGAAAGTTTGTCGGGACTGGAAAGGCAATCTGCAATGAGGATGAAAGCACCTGGAACATAACACACCAGGAGACATATGTCAAGTGTATGGGCTCAAAAATGGAGATCCACAGTCTACCACAAAGGGAACAAAAATAAGTGCCCCCTTGGTGAGTGATATAAACCACCACCATTGAATAGTCAGAATGAAACACGATTAATCAAATCTGAACAAGAGGAAGAAAGTGAACTAAAGCACACTGGGCTGTTAACATGGTAAGACCTTTCATCCATAGACCATTGTCCTGAAGCCTCCTGCTGAATGACTCGTACACCCCAATTTTGGAGATAAGCATCAGGGAAGAGAAACAAATCTAGATCAGGGGAAGGAATCAGTAAACCTGATGATGTGGGGGATATGTTCAACCACCAACGAATATAGTCAAAGAGAGGAGGAATGTTAAGAGGAGAATTCAAAGGAACCCTAGCAAGAGACCATGGGTTGTGCAGATCACAAATGTGCCAGGCACAAATGGAGAAGTGCTTCCATAGAAGCCACATCCACCAATGAGTTAGAACCTTGCTAGTAGTAAGACAGTGAACTGTAATGGCATGGATAACAGAAATCCATATGTATGAGATGTAATGTTTTGAAGGAAAAACAATATACTTAACCATTAATGTATGATATACCAGTAAGATTAGTTACAGGTAATCCTAAAGTAACAAAGACCCATGTTAAGCCTAATCTAACATTATAGGACAAAGGATATGAATAAGCTCTAATTTCAAACCTGAATGTAACTATTGTTACGACAGCAGAAGTCGTGTGATGCTGGGAGCATGTGCTCTGGAGTTTCTGGAAGGATCATGAATTTTCCTGGCAACTCTAGTTTGTCCCAGGCACCCTCTTTTTTAGTATATAAGCCCGGCAAATAAAGCCAGCGAAAAAAAGACAGAATTGCATAGATAGATTGAAGATAGAGATAATTGAGTCAAGCGAACAGTAGGCACCATAAGTAAAGTGTGTGGATCATTGTGATTTATAGTGTGTGTTGTAAAGGTTGTTAAGTTTAAAGTGACTGTGGAAATTAAGTGTATTAAAAAGTTTGTAACGAGAAAGAATAAACTAGTTTTAATCAAGAAGGGACTTATATCGCTAAAGTCACTCGGAAAGAATTTTTATCAAAAATTATCAAACAAGCAGAAACGTAACACTATGAATATTTACCAATCTAACTAAACATATCCCAGCAAACATACTACGCAGTGACTTGGTAGTGGTTTGATAATGTCTGAATAATATGTAGCATATACGTAGTAATAACGTAACTTCATAACATTGTGCCAATACGTAGTAACAGAGTAATAACTACTTGGTCAGACTGTAATTTTACTACATATAGTGTTATTGAGTAGCAATAAAATGAGGATATTACACTGCATATGAAAAGCAAAAGAGAACATCACCTGCCAGTGTAACTCATACGCTGTTATGTATTGCACAAATAGTATTTCTTTTTGCTGTTTAAATATTAGTTTTGTATATTTAATGTCACATTCAAATAAAAATATTATTAATCGAGTAAAATACTATTTTAAAATATCAAAACAAAATTAATTGCAATACTTCAGGAATGACACGTATAGCTTAATTACACCAAATTTGAATAAGAAGATCTCAACTGTCCGGATACCTCCAAGATATTTCATCATTCAAAGGTACGCAATGACAAGATATGCTTCCTAACATCCATATAGAGTTTGCAGAAAGTTTAAAAACACAAAATAAAAAAAGGAGCATGAAACCATTCTCCAACGTGTCAGAGGGAATAAGCAAGTTATATAGTTAGTGTTTATGTTCAATGCTCAACATTCGTGTTTATGTATTAGAAAGTTTTTAATACATTTTTTTGATAGCTTTGGTGCTATAACAGCAAAATAGTGTAATTCAGAAGTTTTATGACACTTAGTTGTAGTCAAAAGCAAAATAAAATTTACCAAGTAGTGTTTCAGCTAAGCCTTATGTTACGTTTACGTATTAGGCCTACTATTACTTGAATAATTGGGTTTCCACAAGAATCTGGTTTTCACAATAAACAACATTTATATACATTTCTATCAATACTAGTGATATGGTATTGATCTATCACGTGATGGTTTATATATTTCACAAGTATAATCTGTGACACAGCTTGTAGCCACATCAATGGGGAAAAAAGTAAAATACAGAGAGTAAAATACTAAAGTTAACATAAATAGACTTTTAAACAGAAAAAAGCCTTATTGAACCAATTAAAGAAAAATTCTCAAAGCTTTACTAAAATAAATCAGTACACACCAATATAAAATGATTATTGTTTTGCACTGGTATTTTTAAGGTTTCAATACTTGTATATAGTCGCCCAACATTTAGATTGCCGTGCTCAATAAAATAAAATTCTATATAATGCAGTTAAAAGTTGTGGCACCAAGTTGTAAGATGTAGTAGCCCAGCTCAATTTTTGGTGGCCTGGGGTGACCAGATCACCAGTTAAAGTCTGCACTGCTTTTATTTGCACACAATATTATGTTTATTTGGCAGCTACTGTTTCTTGTTCGACATTCTCCCTTTAAATTACCAGTGGCAAGTCCTAATGAGGCTGGATGAAATCATTGCTAACCAAAAAAAGCACACAGAACTTCTCCAACAACTTGCTGGTAAAAGAAGAGTTGTTTCACAAGCCCAGGAACAAGAGGTTGGAGTAGTAGAGGAACCGCAGGAAGACCTGGACCAAATCTGTACCAAGATATCAGAAAACCCAGGCCAGAGAAAAAAACTGGTAAGTCCTATGATGAATAGCTATATTTTTCGTTGATACTTATTATCATGCATATAAATAGTTATTATATCAAATATATGCCAACTTGTAAATGTAATCAAGCATCCATCTGATCAAATGGTGTAACATAATTTTCAGGTTGCTGTCCTTGGGAGGGAGCAGTTTTGTGAATTCTGTACAAAGAATGTTTAAGAAGTTAGGGACTTTCTGTCTGTGGTCTGGCATCAAAATGAAGTACAAGCAAAAACTACAAGACCTGCTACTGTATATAATAATTACCAGTATATATATATATATATATATATATATATATATATATCTGGATATTTCCAATTTTAATCGATTATTATTTTGATACAATAAACCACCTGTGTAATTATTTAAACAAAATTTATCCATTTTACACAGCTTTGTGAAAATAAGCTCAGTGAATAGACTGACTGTGCAATGAAAACAATAGTATTCAGTTATGTATCAATGAACAAGACTATTTATAAGATATCAATGACATACAATATCATATTTATAAGTCCTGTTATTTTCTTAAGTTTATGAATTTTCCAGTGTTATAGAGATAAAATCCTAGCTTTGTTCAATTTGACAATGTTATTGTAAATTGCAATAATGAATATTTTAATGATTCGATAGAGGCATGTAGACAAATTCACCTCAAATGCCAGGATGTTGAGGTTGAGCTGAAGATGGTTGAAACTCCTAAGCATGCACTGAGCAAGTGTGGTGAATACCTGTTCCTGGTAAATGTATTGACAAATAAAGTGATGCACTCATATTGATCAAAACTGTTAACTAGTATACGCAATAAAATATAGGAATTAAAATATACAGAATATAATATAGCCAAGTTTGAAATGCATTCAAGACAAAAGTAAAATTGAGAATACAATGACATCACTGCTAAGTAAGGTACCAACTTTGTCCGAGCTTCATATTGCATGAAACAAAATATTCATTTCTGGCATAAACTCAGGTGCAACTTTATTTGTATAGCAGGTGTTTATAACGATTAATTTAATCAACATTGTTTGGCCATATAATAATATTACAGTCCTTGGTAGAAAGAAGAAACTACAAATCTCAGACCTGTTCATTTGTGATTTTATTGATAGCTGTATTGGTCTGTCAAGTTGAATTGTCATTTGTGATTTTATTGATAGCTGTATTGGTCTGTCAAGTTGAATTGGTCTTGTATATTTATAGGCATGAGCTGCTTTGAAATCTCCCAGGACACCCACAGCAATACACTGTATTAGAATTATAGAGATGAAAAATGTATAATTTGTTTTTGTAACTTGTAATGTTGTATCAAAAAGAATGTATAATTTGTTTTTGTAACTTGTAATGTTGTATCAAAAAGAATGTATAATTTGTTTTTGTAACTTGTAATGTTGTATCAAAAAGAATGTA